TCAAGGCTTGATTTTTCAGATGTGGCCTAACTAGAGCTGACTTGGGACATAACCAGGTGAAGTAGAAGAGTTAATAATCAGCACTAATGTTGGTAAGAGTACGTCGAGACAGTCATATAGAAGGTCAGTTGGAATCGGATCAAGTGAACAAGTTGTTCTTTTTGCAGATTTCAGTAGTTTAGTAACTTTAGTGTCAGTGAAACTATCAATATGAGTAAGAGGCGCGCCATCAAACATTTTGGAGGAAAATCAGCTTCATCCACAGCCACAGAAGACGAAATCTTGTCATGAATGTCTTGGATCTTTTCGTAGAAATAATCCGAAAATGTCTGTGCTGTTGGTTCATTGTCATCAGGTGTCGGAAGTGGCGATTCCCAGTGTTTACCCAAGATACTGAACAAAAGTTTGAACAGCAACTTTGGACTTGACTTGTTGATTTCAGTCTTAGAATTGAGATGTTGATTTGGCTGATGACCGTTGTTGAGTGATTTATGGCTGAAATATACATTTGGCGATGAATCACCAGGAAAGATTTTTTTCCATCTGCGTTCTGCTTTCCTCTTGTCTCTTTTCGCTTGTCGAACTTCAGGTGTGAAGTCCCAAGCAGATGTTTTTGTGACTGGTATGACTCTGTCCTTCACTGGTGCATCTTTGTCTAGCAGCTCAGATAGAACTCTACTGTATAGCAGAACGAGACTCTCAGCATCAGATTGTGGCTCAAGTATAAGGTCTGAGTTAAGCAAATTGTCTTTAAAAGTATCCTTATCCAGGGAGCGCATGTTCTTACAGCGAGTAATCTTCACGTTTGGACTGGGTATTGAGAGGTCCAAGCTCACAAGGATATGGAAATGGTCAGAGAGCTGTCGATCCTATACAGATACACAACTGACACACGCGTCTGAAGCATGGTTAACCTTTCCAGTCCAGAGTGTGTCCACCTCTGTGGCTTGCCTCTGACACGAGTTGTACACAGTTGTGGACTTCAAGAAGATTAAGTATTCGTTTAGTGTCATGGTTATCCTTGTTGTCAAAATGGAAATTCAAACGCCTACAATGATAAGAGCTACTTCGTCAACATATCCAGTCTGTGCCGAGACGGTGCCGAGCAGTAATTGCTGCCAATAGTGGCCATACAAAGAACTGACTTTGACGCCATCTTGTGGACTCAAGTAAACAGAAACACAACAGTAAAGGCATTGTCTATAGACGTTTGAATTTTCGCCCTTTTACCATTGGGATTACATGATATAATTGCTCTTAAACTAACGCAAGAAATTCTTCTAAAAATGGCTATGCGTTTCTTACTTTGAAGAGTATATTTCTGGATCGCAGTTTCATGTAAAGACCTCTTTCATAGTTGATAAACAGGGTAAGAAGTATATTCTATTTTCATATTGTACTAGTTCTATATAAAATATATGCTTTGTGCAGAAATGGGTTTTTTATTTATCATTGTGACTTATAGAGCTAACAATAACTTTTTTATGTAAATTTAAGACTAAAAGCAACCTTAAAAGATCTGGTGACTTACAGCATATGAGAAATATATTCCTTAACCAAATATGCATGGTATTTGATGTTAAAACCATTGTTTTGTTCCGGGTTTTGCAACTTTTTCAGTTCCCAGGTAAATTGTGGCGGCCATCGTGGATTTTGAGCTAAAAATATCTTTCGCATTGATATTCAGATTGGAACCAAACATTTTTTTTAACTCCTTTAACATATAAACACAAAAGAATATATGATTTTCTTTCATCAATGGGATTTCATCACGGAATCCCATAAGCTACTTGACTAAATTTGTTTGGCTTGAAATTTGAGTCTTACCAAAAACAGCTAAACTATGCAACCAGTTTAAAGTAAAAAGACCATGTATAAATGCAGCAAATTGGATCACGAACACCTAAATACGACAAGAATCAGAATTATTATAAGAGTTTTGGGAATTGCCACACGATGTAAATGAACGAATAACTGACGAGTACAAAAATAATCAGAAACTCTTAAGGTGCTTCCAAAATTATATTGGAGAATCAAATGTGAGTTACATATTTGCAAAAGAATATCGAAATATGTAAATGATAATTTTCACTGCTTCCCCACAAAACAAACTAAATCATATTCCGCGCATAGATCGCTTTCCGTTTTAGAGCTAACCGGGTGCCGTACTGCAGTAACTAGGGTTTTACGAAATTGTGGACTGTTTATCCCAGTTCTGGTCGCTACAAACGCTGACATCGATGTTTTGCCGTGGCCAGCATGTTCTCCCGACATAAATCCGATAGAACACTTATGTGACTACCTACTGTATCGACAAATCATAAGACTACCATGGCCAGCGCCACCTGTCACCGCTCAACAACTGGAACAATGTCTCCTACAGGAATGGCAACGGATTACGCCTACGTCATTCGTCGTCTTACGTCATCAATGCGTCGACGTGTTATGGCGTGTATTGAAGCCAATGGTGGTCATACTCACTATTACTTCAACATTTGATGACATTTTGCAGAAAGTGCCTTGTTGAGTTGTGCAAAAGTCATTGTCAGTCAAACGGTACTTTCGACTTTGCTGTAGAACTGAATACTCTATTGAAATGAAACAGCTGTTCATTTATATATGCTTTTCTTTTCTTTTCACGATTGGTCAAACACAAGGCATACTTTCTTTTGAGCACTAGTTTATGATATATTAAAACGATATGGTTGCTTGAAATAGAAATTAAACAATACTGCTAATGAATCGCCTGTTTAAAAGCAATGCACAATTACACAAATTATCAAATATAAATGTTTAATTCATAGGACATTAAGTGTAGACAACTTAAATTTGTATGGGAATTGAAGTATAAAATCATTATAGATAATTAGAAATATGAAGGCTAAGGTCCAGTGACTTTCTAAATGAGTTTTGTCTACAGTACCTGTTATCGTTTCATTTATGTCAACGCACATTGACTGACTGAAGAGTGAGTGAGTCAATGGGTGAGTGGAATTTAACGACACTGAACAGCATTCCAGTAATAATATTCGAGTGAGTTTGGTTTTACGACGCTTTTAGCAATATTCCAGCAATATCACGGCAGGGGACATCAGAAATGGGCTTCACACATTGTAGCCATGTTGGAAATCGAACCCGGGTCTTCGGCGTGACGAACGAATGCTTTAACCACTAGGCTACACCACCGCACCTCTCAGATCATTGAAAACAGTCTGTTTTCCTTATATCAACCAGAGATTGGACCAACTCGGATAGTACTGCCGGCTGGTTTTCATCCCGGACATCAGTGGACCTTTCCACTTCCATAAGAACTGTGTAGATATAACCTTACATTTCATGAACTTTTGTGTGTATCATGGAAACATATATAACGATATCCTGATCAAACGTGGAGTACTATGGATTTACAATTATATTTGTATATTACAAAGGAAATGTACCCCAAAACATATATGTGACACCTGCCTCACATTTCCTGAAATCTTGAGTATGTAGTGAACGTGTTATCGTGGATGTGGTGAGTAGGGCTCTCACGAGTACTCGGGTACTCGGGGCCGAGTCGGGTAAAGCAGGACTCGAGTCCAATTGAATGGACTCGAGGACCCGCAGGGGAGATACCTCTAAACATCTCATGCAATCAAGATGGATGATCGTGAGAAAACATCTAATGTCTGGACGCATTTTTATTTCTTTTCCCGGACACATCCAATCATATTACAGCATTTACAGGCGTAATAAGGTATCACCGGCCCAGCTCATGAATATTAATCACATAATTGATCGCGTAGAACTTGGTCACAGTGACACTTACGTTGCCTTCACATTCTGTTTGCAAATAAAAAGGTAATAGATACTTCCATTGACATTTAATATCAATTGCTTTATTCGGGAACGTTTGGATTCACATATACATGTTGCATTATTCGTAGATTGGAAGTTGGAACAGCCACGTGTATGCCTGAATGTTGGTTTCAGATAAGCATCCAAATTGTCGGGTACTCGGGTCCGAGTCGGGTCTGACACCTCGAGTACTCGAGTCCCAAATTTTGGACTCGTGAGAGCCCTAGTGGTGAGGAGGACTCTTACTCAGTCAGACGTTGGTCTGTGAGTCCGACCACACTGATACCATGTTGCAGTTGTATTGAATCCGAGCTGACATTGTTTTATCCCCTTAACGCTTGCCCCAGGCTGGGTAATAAGAAGTACTATCTTTAAATGTCTTTTGGGGCATGGCGGGAGTCGAACAACTTATCTTCCGCGCTTCGGACAGACCTTGGCACGGGTGTCCCAGCAGTCGGGGGAGGTTGTAAACCCATTATCGTGGGTTTGAATCCTGATTATGTAAATTTTCTAGGTTTGTCAGCGCCAGACCCATGCTCGTCGGCATCTCCAGATGGATAACGACCTGCATCACTCCGGGTTTCCTCCAATATTATTAGGGGCGGTGGGGTAGCCTAGTGGTCACACCGAAGACCCAGGTTCAATTCCCCACATGGGTACAATGTCTGAAGCCCATTCATGGTGTTCCCCCACCGTGATATTGCTGGATGAGTGCTAAATGCGGAGTCACTCACCCACCCACCCACCCACCCACTCACTCACTCACCCACCCACTCACTCACTCACTCACCAGCCCAACTCACCCACCTACTCACTCACTCACCGCTGTCTCGCCTGTATCACTGCTAATGGTGGGCACATCGAACATCGCTATATAATACAGTTTCTGTTTGTCGTTAGTATCAAGTTTAGTTGTATAATTAAACACATGTCGTACAATATTTCCCCATCTATGACGTCATTACCAGTGTGGGGTTTGTAGACAAAACTGATCTGCTTACTGTACTTACATCAAGTGTTAATGTACCATCAACACGGGCAGTGTCAAACAGTTGTAGGTATATAAAATGTCCCCACTACTTGATATCCCACTACTGTGCACGCACCTGCTGTCAGCCTGTCCTATATATTCACATCATTGTAATCGGTGTGTCTGTATCACGTCTCCGCTAAAGCAGGGTCTAGACTCAAAATTTATATTATTTACATTTTTTTACCATTATTTCGAACTTTGTCAGCATAATGAACACCTGCTAAAGAGCTAAAGAGGATCTAATTTGTATGGTCGACAGGAGTGTAAAGCTGACGTGGTGATTTTCGACTCATTTAAGGAAGAACGGAGTCCCGTTTGAAACACACGACCATGGACGCCCTTCAGTTAGAGCCACGGGACAAGGACGAGGAAGCTGGTGAACAGTCGTTGAAAATGTTGGACGAGTCGCCGGCTGTCTCTGGAATATCGAAGCGACCGAAATGGAGTCACAAGGCGGATTATATATTGTCCATGGTGGGGTACTGTGTTTCCCTGGTCAACTTGTGGAGATTTCCGTACCTTTGCAACAGAAACGGAGGAGGTAGGTCTTACCTTTACTGTCATAGCTAGTAACTGTGTAATGGGTATTACATGTATTTGGTCTTGTGCATAGAGCATAGGTCACAAATCAGTATAAGTTGGTCACGGAGAGTCCTTGGTTGGGTGAGGACCGCCTCCGTGGTGTAGTGGTTAGAGCGTCCGCCAGGAGGGCGGAAGGTCGCGGGTTCGATCCCCGACCGCGTCATACCAAAAGACGTTAAAATATGGTACTTGTTGGTCCCTGCCTGGCGCTCGGCATTAATGGGTACAACAAGGACTGGTCGGCTCGGAGTCAGTATAATGTGTCTGAGTGGGGTATTCATGCTTCACTGCGGCATGGTATCTCAGTGGGCTAGCACAATAAAACCAGCTTAAGTTTGGGCTAGTACAAGCAGCCGCATATACACATACACACGCATGCACGACGTCATATGAGCGAAATATTCTCAAGCACGACGTTAAACCCAATTTCACCTCACCTCACCTTGGTTGGGTGACCGTGTTTGACAGCTTGATTCCTGTTTCTTGGACTTCAGTCCTGCCCCACAACGAAGCACACGTGGAACACGTGGTTTCATCAAGTGAGTTTGTTAAAAAAATGCCTCTGTTCATCTATCAGTAAATGGGTACCCGGTGGGATTAGATGGTCTTGTAACCTTCAACACCTGGATTAATCGGGGTAGTGTTATAATGTCTGCGCATAATTTGTCCACCTTTGAGGTGGATATTAGGCGCTCTACAAGTGCATTATTATCATATAAGTGACGTCGCACATAACAATAAACTATGATACAGGCACTAGGGTCGGCGGGGTGGCCTATTGGTTAAAGCGTGCGATCGTCACGCCGAAGGCTCGAGTTGGATTCCCCACATGGGTACAATGTGTAAGCCAATTTCTGGTGTCCCCCACCGTGATATTGCTGGAATATTGCTAAAAGCGGTGTAAAACTAAACTCACTCACTCATTTGGCGTTGGGGTAATGTAGTGACTGACATCTTGGTCGACACCAAAAAAGGTTCGATGCAAGCATTTGGCACAGTAATTGTCGTGTATGTGGTCATGCCAAACATGGTTCCATACAATCATTTGGCGGTGGGGTACTGAGTATTGAACTGTGGGTCAGCATACTGAACATCAACGTTCGGTACAAGAGGTACCGTATTTACTCATGTGTTAGCCCATACAGTGAGCAAACAGATTCTAAGGCACGTACTTCACATAACATCTCAAAAGCTATTTGTGTATATATGTCATCATTTGCTGTAAAAGGTTACGTGAAAGATGTGTGTCACGGCCAGAAAACTGTTGTGTTCTTTATTTGGCGGTTGTGTACCCCAGTGGTTAAAGCGTCCGCTCGTAACGCCGAAGACCAGGCCCCGGGGTCATGAAAGTGACTTAAGTCTAAAAATTGCTTAAATCTGTCATTTATAGATTACCCGGACAAAGGTTACCATTTGGCATTTCTTGTGTCTGGAGTAAATATTCAACATTATAAACATCGATCAAAGGATTAACCGATAACACGCTGATTGATTAATTACTTTTGTCTTACACAGCGGAATTGTCAAAGGTAGTGTTTATGTATGTAGATTTACTAATCTATACTGAATACACTCTGTCGTGTCGGTGTCTGCGTAAAACAACGTCCTTCTTTCAAACGATTAACCGGCAATACATTGATTGATTGCCCATTATTGGCATTAACTAAATTACTGTTTTAAAGAAAGGCGGACATTATGCAATTAGTTGCCAGGTGTGCTATCTTGGTTGACCAATGAGACTATACACCAATACCTGAAAAGATTTATCACTTTTTCGTATATTAAACTGTTAAAGACACATCATTTGGAACAGTTTTGTGGATATTGATGGATACATTCCTCGAACAAGGTAATGGCCTGATATTGTTCCCATAACTTTAATCTGTTTTAATTTTAATATTTGCATTTTGATTTTATTCATTTGTCGTAGCATTCAACAGAATCATTGTTTTCGCCGTGAAGTGTAATGAGTCAGACAACATGCACTAGGGTGTGTGTGCGAATTATGATTCAAATTGGCAAACTATAAAATGTCTAGATATTACAGTTCTGTTATAAATTCACTATAAATATCAGCAGATCGTTTGCTTTTTATTTAGTTTCAAAATGCATACAAGTATGATAATAAACTAATTAGGATTATAAGACCAAATATAAAGACGCACATTGACTAGTATCTACATACTGGTGAGTAGACATTAACCATGGGAATGTAGCAAGAAATTTATCGCGCAGTATTGTGACTTCGACCCCCACCTCGCTTCCGTGGAAGAAATCGTTATGTTATAAGTTGTGTCATGCAAAATCCGTTTGGTTATGATTCCAATACATATTTAACTACGAGTAGAAAGTAGTCTTGATTATCTAACTTGATGAAAACAAACTATAATCTCATTAATTCTAACAGATTTTTTTATTTTTAAAAATGGCGGCGCCCTGTCGGGAACATCCGCCAGTCTGAGGATAAATGGTATTTAGGTTTGTTTTCACCGAGTTACAAAATCAAAACTACTTTCTACTGGTAGTAAAATATGTATTTTATTGATGGCCAATAGGATTTTGCATGACATAGCGTATAACATAACAATTTTCTCGTGGCAGCGAGGTGGGTGTCAATATCAATACTACTTACAATATTATTGTTACTTCGACCACAACCTCACTTCCGAGGAAGAAATCGTTATGTTACAAGTTGTGTCATAGAAACTCTTTATGGTCATCAATCATATGCATATTTTACAACAACTAGTAAGTAGTTTTGATTCTTTAACTTCAGTGAAGCGATCTGAACACAAGTAAGATATCGTTTCAGGCTTCCACAACGCTCGCTTCGCACTCATAAACATAACCGATTTAGCACGAACTGCGGGGTCCTGTGGAAATCTGTTTAAATCTGTCATTTTGATCCTAAATCCAAAACATTGTCTTAAATCGGGGATCACGTACATTTTTTAGTCTCAAAAGTTAAGACTGATATCATTTTTTGTCTTAAATCCTGAGACTGCTACCTACCAGTCTTAAGCCCTTTTTGATGCCGAGGTTTTTTTCAGGCGCGTATTTTCATAAGGTTTGAAAAGTGAACGTTGTGCGAGATTTGCGCTCACATGGTCCTGGATCTGCGTACGGATATATAATTACACAGAAATGTGGAATATTAAATTGCCTATCCGTTGGTATAAATATAAATGCAAATACCTCGGCGGTTTGAGAAACAGACACTGCTAAATGATGTCCAAAATTTTGTTATGCGTTAAAAAACAGTAAATTTCTCCGCTTTTGATCGTGCACCGATAAAAGCACTGTGTTACGATTCATTTTTAATTTGGCATCTTTACGGAAAGTGTGAGCGAAGAAAATACAGCCTGATATCTGAACGACATAGTATATATGAAATTGGTTTATTTGCATATGCATAACGTTATACGGTCAACATTAAAAATGACTCGTCTAGTATGACGTCAAACGACGATAGAGAGACGCTATATTTTTGTTATGTTTTGTTCACCGTGAACCGAACTATTCTAGTACAATGTCCATCTTCGTGAGCGGATACGTTTTGGTAGTTTATCAATTTATAGGAAAAGATGACAATGTACTACATGTGAAAGCACGTAATAGCGATTTGGATGGCCCTATCCGATAGGTAGATTAGTTCTTAGATTCACATATTCTACTGTTTGTGTAGATGTATTTTGACTAATTTTGCATCGTTATTATCTTCAATGTAATGAAATTACTGAAAAGATTACAACATTGTAGTTGACGTCATTGCTTGTTTTATGTATTTTGCGACTTCGGAAAAATGACTATGCTGATTAATATATATCTCACCTAATTTCCATGAATTGTATAAAAGTTTCGGTTTCTATGTCAGAATTTAACACTCTTTCGACAGAACTTAAAATGACTGATTTTATTATTTAAATAATGTCCCGAATAGATCCGTAATTAGACGGTTTGACTGTGTATCTTTATATGAACAACACGCGCACCGGTACCTGTTTGGCATCAGTTTGACGTAAATTAAAAAGAATATTTCACTATTTAAGTACATGTTGCAGTTATGCATACGTTTGTTCTTCTAATGCTTGTTTAAGGGTTTTAAATATGGTGTACTACACTCAGTATGTCAATTTCTTATGTAAATATTATTCAAACAAACAAAAATCTTCAAAGAATAAAATCCGTATACCCTATATCCACGGATATGATATAGCACAAGGCTAAACGTAGATAAATAAATTAGTTTCATTAAAAAATATCTGAACGATACACAAAATATACATTATAACACTGAAAGTGTAATTGGTGGGACATGGCGACTTTGTTTACTCTTATTCAACCGACCTTCACCTCAAAGAAATTGCCAAATATGTAACAACAATGTTAACGTATATGACATCACTACCGTTGACCGAATTCTTACCAAAGGGCGGCTTCCCGGACATGGGTACACAGGATTTTGCGAGGACCTTTCCCTTGATTCGGGGATCGTTTATATATAAATGTGTGATGTAAGTAATCAGAATGATTCTGACTATCTGTGTATTGTTATATGTTTTATCGTTTTCATTGTATGTAAGAGAAGAAGCCATATATGCCGATCATTACCGTTGTCATTCTTCGAGAGTCAAGCACAGGAAAACTTGTTCAGGAGAAGTCCAATAATAAACATTATTTATTCGAAACTTCAAACTGCATAATTTTCATATGCGTGGTGTAGTGGTTAGAGCGTCCGCCCGGAGAGCGGACTTCATCCCCGACCGCGAATAACTCTATGGTACTTGTTGGTCCCAAACTTTGTCATCGGAGTCAGTATAATGTGCCTGAGTAGCAATTGCATAACCATGCGAAATGACAGAAAACCAGCTTATGAGAGCAAAGTGAGAGCCCTGCTGCCTGTTAAGCGTTTGCCCACTAGCTTACATCTGTCTATTGAGCTGATAACATCTTATATTG